TCCCAGGGAGAGACCACAGCTAGCCAGCATTTGGGTGCAAGGTGCTATGTTCAGGAACACGAGCCCAGACTGGTTCCATCTCCCTGTGGGCACCTGAAGGGGAGCCCGCAGTGAAATGGAGATGATAAGCATCATATAACCATTATATTTTGTGACATTCTTATCTATAGGAAAGACTGATTTCTACTATGAGAAGTGTAGATCTTCAGGCTTTGTTAGCTTTGTTTATGTAATTATTTTCCTTTGTTGTACAAACCGCGTAGGTTTTTTTAACATGACCTTACAGAAATGAGTAAGTATGCTAATACCATACCACGCTTTGCACACAGAGTAGATCTTAAAAGGAAACACCATACTTGCCTACACTTTATTTAAAACTCGTATTTTTTATTAGACAAAAAGTATTTCATGTGATGTATTTAGGAAAATATCATTCTTTCATCAGATCCACTTACTTGGGTTTGGAGGGAAGAGAGTGCAGCTTTTGCAGTGAATTATTTCTTTGACTACAGGCACATCTGTTGGTGGTGGTGGTGGCACTAACCCCATGCCTGGTATCATTGGGTTAATCGGAGTGATTCCAGTCATCATGCTAAGGCTTGGATCAAAGCCTGGTACGCAGATTGAATCTGTAAATATATAACATAAAATCCTGGCTTATAAATCTTGAAACTACTTGTTAACATTTTCTTGCATAGACAGTTTTGCTTTGGGCATTTTTTTTTTTTTTTTTTTTACCCCCAGCATCAAAAAAAAGGAGAAGGAAAAGGAAAAATGGAAAAGAGAAAAGTCAGAGAAAAAGGAGAAAAGGAGACGCAGGTGCATTTTTAGTGAAAAAAGCCCAACTACATACAAAGAAGGGAATGTTACATAATTTAAAATACTAATATGACTGAGTAAAACACAGCACATTAAAGCGTAAAAACATGCACCAGGAATATCTGTTGTTGTCTGGAATGCAATTTTCTGTTTCGTAATGCTACCATGGTGTTTACATCTTGACTAGAGTGTATAAAGAATATAATTTAACATTGATATGCCCTCCTCATCTAATTGTCAGACAAATTTATCACAACATAGCCTTCCCACATAAGTGACCTTGATTTACGAACAGTACAGAGAAAGATCTCTTTCTGGCTGGTTTATAGCAGTGCACTTAGCCAAGACTTCTAACCATTTTACCCTGGAATATGAAGTTTCAGCTGAATAGAATGGGGACTTTTTGAACCTTGGAATTAATTCCTTCTTGTCCTGTTACTTAATCGGATTAGTAGATTCTCTTCAACACATGTATTATTAAAATATAGCACTACATCCCCATAAAGTAAAATGCGCATTTGGCAAACGTTACTCTTTCTCCTTCCTGATCTCTTTGCCAAGACTTCCATACGTAATATTTAAAGCTGAAAAATTTACTAGGGAGCACCAGTGCTCTAACACCAAGAATTGTAATAAGCAGATGTTTCAGATGAACTGAGAGCCAACTTCTGAAAACTGCTTTCATTAAAAACAAGGCTTTGGGTTTCTTGAGGCATAATGAATAAAATATTTTGAGAGACCGATTTCTTTGTTGGCATAACACTGCTGCTATTTGGCATCATCAATTATTTAAAAGAAGAGTTACTTTGGTGCTCTACAGGTTTTCTGCTGAGTTTTCTGGCTAGCAACTGGAAAGCATTTAATGATACATGTAAACGTGGGGTTTGGTAGCTTGGGAGCATGTTTGTTTTGAAGAAGCAAAGAGGAAAAAACTTCTTTTCTAGGATTATATATATATATAAAATTTGAATTATATTTGCTACATGGCAGCATGATCAATGTGACCAGAAAGGCCTGTTCCTTCATTCTAAATCTGCTGCTGAGAACCTATGTGACCCTGGGTCAGCCCACTGACCTTTCTCTGTCTTAGCTTCTGCATCTGCAAAACAGGTGCAATAATAGTCACTTACGGGCGAGGACCAGCTCACATTTTTATAGCACTCTGCAGGTGTAAAGCACTCTGTGGGGGCTGAAAATTAGCATTATTATTCCTGTAAAACGTCCATAATCATCTTCTCCAGGAAAGACAACTGAGGATTGAGAACCTCTATTCAAATAGAGCTTGTATCTCTCTCAGCCGCATGCTCCCTGCTCTCCACACACTGACTGAACCTTCATCACTTTCAGGCAGTTCTGTACAACAAGCGTAGCAAGCACACAGCAAGCAAGGATTTGCTTTAGGCTTATTGAAGACTAGTATTAATGAAAACTCATGATATTACATTACTTTTTTTTAATAAGTGGGCTTATGAAAAATGATTTGCTCTGGATGTGATGCTTTTTTTCCAGTATTGATATATATGCATTGCTTTTCAGATTAAGCTTTGAAAATCAGAGCCTGTCATTTATTCCACAAGATGCAGTGGTGGCCATATTAAATATTCATGGTTAGCAAAGGCTGGAAGATAAAGTCAGAGGCGAAAGGGCAACACACAATTCAAAGAAGTCCTTAGGCTATGCTTATTTGCTTGATCTCATTTTTTAAAGTCAGACTTCAGACAGTCACAGCAGGCCATTCTATGCAGCACTCTCCTGCTGTGGGTGGAAGTCCATCATTACTACTCGCTGCTAGAGCGGCCCGCAGAGCCCCGCAGCACCACAATAGCACTCAACGCACTGTGTTGTTCCAGTCCTCCCCTAGGATCAGGGAAAACTGGCACTAGAGAGATGCCAAGGGAGGCATCTCGTTCCTCCCTCTGGACAAATGTAGGATCAGCTACAGTCCTAGCCAGATATGAAATTTCCTATTAAATCCAGTATCCATGATAGACCCACAGCATTCTGAGGCAAGGATGGAGCAAGTGGAAATGCACAAGAAAATGGGCAGAAGGCCAAATTCTCTTTCAGGCCCATGTGACAGCCAAGGATGAACATCGTCATCTGGCGAATGCTGTGAGTTCTTTTTAACCATTGCCATTCTCTTTAAAACAACTACTAGATACATTTTAATTTCTCTACAGAAGCAGTGGACTGAAACATCAAATTCTGCCTAAATCATAGACACATGCTTTCACCCAAAGCAAAGATAGCAGGTTCAAATAAGCTAGTTTTCTGAATATTCCTTTGGCAGTGGTGTACAGAGAGAAAAACAAAACTAAGTGAGACAGCAACAATGAAACTCATGTCCACAGACACCATGAAAATGGCCTTGAAAGGAGCTGGGAGGGGGAGCCAATACAAGGTTGTATGCCAATCAAAGCAGGTTTGTGGTTTAAGGGAGAGAAAATTGTTTGACAGTAATTGCTAGCACATCCAAGGAAATGTGACTTTCTAAGTAATTTTGCTTGTGTTAAATACATGACCTTGCCATCATTTTGTTTTACAACTGGAATCAATCCACAAGAGCATGAGCAGAGCGCTGGGGGTCAACGTGCATGAAATATCCTTCTAGGTGTGCCACGACTCCATGCCTCCAAAAGGTGACTGTGTTTAGGTATATTGAAAAGGACTCAGTCAATAATTCTTGGACTCTAATTCCATGTCTTGCAGGCACTAATCTAAACCCTGCTAACGTTAATAGCAAGACTACTGAAGGCATGAACAACTTTTATCCAGGACCATGTTTACTTTCTCTGTTCTCCTGATTAAGTTGCTTCAGTTCCCCAATGTGCTAATCGGAGAATGAAATGCTTTCATACATCACATGGCACTGAGAAGATGCACAGGTACCATTTGTAGAGCATCCTGGAAATGAAAATTAGTCTCTGAACACTAGAAACTATTGCTATGCATTGCAGTGATGGAAAATTCAGCTGGATTTCTTGAACAGCCAAGATCTTGTTCAGATCCCTGAAGAGACTGGTGGTGCTTGCATCTACAGAGAAGCTGATGCGTACCACCTGCATGTTGCTGACAAACCAAGAAGAAAGCCTACAGATGGGATGTCCAAAGGAAATACTTTTCTGGACTCTGAGGTGTGGAGAAAAAGAAACTGATAAAGTCACTGTAAGGGAAAGTCAATAAATTTGCCACATCTGTGATAGGATCCAGAAAAGTCCCAAGTTTAACCATATTAAAGCTACCCAGTGGTGGAATAATAGAAGTCAGATATATAACTGTTGTCTAGGGACAGGGGATGATCATCCATCAGTACCACCACTGCAGTCTGCTCCACGTCCTGGCATAATGCCTATTTGGAGCAGGACCAGGACACCAGAGTTAGAGCTGGAGACAACTTCTGTTGAACTTACTGGTAAATTTGTTTGTCTTCAGAATCAAAGACACTGATTGAGTTATGCAGGATTACAAAAAATGGGAATCAACCCATCCTACACATGTTCTTTTAACAGATCCATTTGTATATATGATTATTAAGATGTAGTAAACATGAATATGCTACAGTAAATACATAGATATATTAAATCTATATAGTACACATCTGCAGAGTTAAAACAGTAATATTTTATGCTTTCAGTGATCATAGCATTATTTATGCAGCTAGGTAAGGGTTTATGATCTCCTGGAATTATAAAAACCAACTTGGCAGAAGAGAGAAAGTTTACGTTTGAAAAATGTTAATAAATAATTACTAAATTAAATCATTAAAATGAAAAGTAATCAGAAATGATAAAGAACTTTAAGAACTGAAAAGCACATGTTGTTCAAGTTAAAGTCCCTGTGGATATTGCACGTAAGCCTTAAATATTCACACATTTATACAAGAAAGCAAAAGCACTGAACATCAATATTTCAAGTCCATGTTCTGCCTAAATTTGGCAAAAATAGTTAATTCCTCTTTCATATAAGTAGAAATTGGCATGATGGAGAACAATGAAAACCTTTGAAGAACAAATATCTGGAATTGGCAGTCAGAGAGGCAAGAAGAAAAATCTTCTTAAACACTTGGAGTAGTTTTTAAAGCTTTTTCTTTCAAGTAGAATATAGGAAGAATGAAACATTTAATGTTAAGTCTTTGAGTCTGGAAAAATAGAACAATAAAATCCTTTTAAGGATATTCTAACACAGTATGTAGTATAAAACAGTTGCTTTTATTAGTCTCCATTTTGGGGGTATAAGAGCAACTTTGTCATCCATAAAAAGAGCCACACAATTTTTGAGAAGCATTCTTCCTTCCTTCTTTGGCGACAGTTGCTGTCTGAATCACCTCCTGGTTTCATTATGTTATTGCTCTGCCCAAATAAAATGAATGTATACTTCTGCCAACTGTGCTTTTGGGATTGCACTCCACCACCAATACTAAGTTAACGCCACATTTCCACAAGCCCTTACTACAAGTTATATATCTGCTCAATATTATTTTTTAAGAGTATAATCCCCTCTATAAGTCTCAGGATTAGACTTTGGGTATGTCACTTGTTTTGCCTGCAATTGCCCATTGTTCCTGTGGTGTTTTACGACAGCTGCCAAGTTTTGTTTCTGTTGGACGCATAAGAACACCCATGTGTGCAAACACAGATTTGTTTGTGTGTCCCTGCTTGCATGCATGGAAGATTTCCACCATGGACATTGTCAGCCATGTGGCTCAGACCTGCTGGCTGAACACAAAGGGAGATTGTGAGTGCTGAAAATAATGATCTGAGTGCAAAATAGCTTAGAGTTGCCATAGAGTCATGGAATAGTTTGGGTTGGA